AAAAAAAAAAAAAAAATTTCCTCCAGAGCCAAAGTCACATGTTCAGAGGACCATACAACCACCCCGGGCTTGCTCACCCGTGATGACCACGAACAGAGCACAGAAGTTTTAGTGAGTCTGATGACGTTCACTTCAGATATGATCATTAGTGCTTTACGATCATTTACTAACTACACCTCTGAAGAAAAACTTGGCACAAAACTAGAAATCAGCAATTTCGTTCCAAAATACTACACTCTGCAACTGTCTTGTCTAACACGGTGACCACTAGCCACATGTGGTTGTTTAATTACACTTAAAAATTAAGTAAAATTTAAAATTTCGTTTCCCAGGTGCACTAGCCTACAGGTCAAATGCTTAATGGCCACGTGTGGCTAGCAGCGACCATACTGAACAGCAGAGGTATAGAACATGTCCGCTATGACAGAAAGTTCTATGGGCCCCGGGAATGAACAGTACTAAGGCAAAGTCATCCGAGAACCGGCTGCCCAAGCAGCGTCGGGCAAGGGGGCTGCCCAGCTCCGGGGCCGCATGTCCCCTGTGGCGTCGTGGTCTCCGGAATATCCGCGCGGACTCGGAGCCCACGCGCTGAGGATACCCTCCACAGACGGGCGTTAAACCGCGCGGGCAGCGCTGCGAGAGCTACCAAAGACGACTCGAGTGGGGAGCCCCGAGGCCGCGCGTTTCCCCGCCGCGCCAGGCAGGAAGGGCCCATATGTGCCGGCACCAGTTGGTCAGAGGCGGTGGCCTCCGACCTCTCCGCGAGCTGAAAAGGCTGTGAGAGTAAAAAAGGCAGAGAGTCGCTGGGCGCCCGGCCGTCACTCCGCTGACGGCGGGGAACGCTCGAACAGTGTACGGGCGACTGGGAGCGCCCGGGCCTCCCAGGCAGCTGCGAAGGCGGAGTCTGGGCCAGGCCGGGGAGGCGCGCGGAGAGGCCCCCCCCCCACTTACTGGCCCGCCAAGGTAAACAAGGCCGCGACGTGCGCCGCGCACTTACCGGGAGCTGCGGCCCCCCGGCCGCTGAGCCTGGGCAAGCCAGACCGGGTCAGGCCGGGCCAGAGGGATCGGATTGAGGCACAGCGGCAGCAGAAACGGCAGGCCGACGCCGGTCAAGCCCGCGCTGCTTCCTCCCCAGGAGCGGTCTTCGCAGCTCCGGAAGTGCTTGGCGCCGTTGCGTCACTTCCGGACTGGGGTCGACCCACGGTCTCTCAGGTCGCGGCAGGCTCCTGACTAGAGAGCCCCTTTAGCGCCGCCTCCTTGCAACTTGGCGCTCTGACCCAGAGTTTGACAGGATACTGCAGGCTCCGACCGCGTGGGGAGCCACACCATTCGTCTACCAGCGTCTCCCTCCGTGATGATGTTAACCAGCGCGTTTCTTACCGGCTTCCCATATCACTGTTTGTACTCCAGGGTCGGGCACGGAGGGGACATCCTGGCGTCGGTGGAGTGGATAGAGGACCATTGTTTCCCGGCCGCTATCTGGTCAGAGGGGAGCTGGGGCCTGCACCCAGAGGCGGTCGCTGGGTGGCCCCAGAGCCGCAGCCACACCAGGCTTTCGCTTCCCCCGCCTCCGCCTCGTTCGCCGCCCAGTTCTCTGACTTAACGCTCACCGTGCAAGACTGTATCTTAACTGCCTTGCTTGCAGTTTCTTTTTACAGTGTAGGAATTGTCATGATGACTTCCAGTTACCTTCTGGGGCCGGTTGTCAAATGGTGTGGCTAGAGATGGAGCCTCACTCAGATTGTTGCTGCACCACAGTGGAAATGCCCATTAGAAGCCGCTGTTGTTAGGAAGGCTCCAGAGTGTGCAATTCCACAGGCAACAAATCAGATCATTTCCAACTATACTCGAGTCCCTTATATACACATTCAAGATACCTATACTGGCCAGTCGCTGTGGCTCATGCCTGTAATCCCAGCACTTTGGGAGACCAAGATGGGAGGATCGCTTGAGCCCAAGAGTTTGATATACTGAGACCCCTCTCTTCTCTACAAAAAATTTAAAAATTAGCTGGGTGAAGTGACACACGCCTGTGGTCCCACCTATTCAGGAGGTTGAGCTGGGGAGGACAAGGCTGCAGTGCACCGAGATGGCGCCACTGCAGTCCAGCCTCGATGACACAAGGAGACCTTATCTCAAAACAGGAATAACAAGCCATACAATGTAGAAAGCCGTTAAAAATCGTGCTAGGTGGGCTGCTCTGCCTACGGAGTAGCAATTTCTTTGTTTCTTTACTTCTCTAATAAACTTTCTTTCACTTTGCCAACAAAATAAATCATACTGGTTGGTGGAGCATGGTGGCTCACGCTTCTAATCCTAGCACTTTGGGAAGCCAAGGTGAGAGGATCGCTTGAGCCCAGGAGTTGGAGGCTAGCCTGGGCAACATAGTGAGATTCCATGCCTACCAAAAAAAAAAAAAAAAAGTTTTGACGGGTCATGAAAAAAAGCTCTTGGTGAGGTGCAGCCATTTCTTCCGTCCTCGGTCTCTGCACCTTTCGCAGAGCTTCCAGCAGCGCTATGTTGGGCCAGAGCATCCAGAGGTTCACAACTTCTGTGTTACATAGTTGCCACTATGAGGAGGACCCTGGGAAGAATGTGCCACTTACAGTGCAAAACAAGAGGCTGTTACTAGCCATGATGTGTTTGTACTTTGGATCTGGATTTGCTGCACACTTCTTTATAGTAAGACATCAACTGCTTTAAAAATAAGGATGTTGGCCGGGCACGGTGGCTCAAGCCTGTAATCCCAGCACTTTGGGAGGCTGAGGCGGGTGGATCACGAGGTCAAGAGATCGAGACCATCCTGGTTAACATGGTGAAACCCCGTCTCTACTAAAAATACAAAAAACATTAGCTGGGCATGGTGGCGCGTGCCTGTAATCCCAGCTACTCAGGAGGTTGAGGCAGGAGAATT